CAGAATTCCCCAGCCAGCCATGCTGGCTGGGGAATTCTGGGAGTTGAAGTCCCCCCATCTTAAAGTGGCCAAGTTTGAAAAACACCGATTTAAGCAAAGGCTTCCTGTGCATACCTTGGTGGGTATACCTGTGTATCTTGGTGAGTATCTGCCCATCCATCCATCCATCCATCCATCCATCCACCCCTGCTTCCCTGCGCCAAGTCTGCAGCCTGGACATCTTGTAGGACTGTCCCTACCTTGCTTAGCAAACACAACCTGGGGCTCCTTCAGTTATTCCGGTGGGTGGCCTCAACCTTTTCTAGCCCCCTCCCTATTGTATCAGATACTCAGGCCTTCAGAGGCCTAGATTCTGGGCGCTTTGCTCACCAGGACAATCTTGGAAGGAGCAGTTACTGTGGCAGAAGCAGGAAAGAGAAAAGATATTCAGAAAGTGAATAATCTTGGATCGGAAGGCCTGTTTCCTGGAAAACTCCACTTTTCTCGCTTGTAACTGTGAGTGAGTGGCAGATCTCAGGTGGCTAAACAGGGTCAGGCTTGATTAGGCCTTGGATGGGAGACCACCAGGAAATCACGTACTGATGGCATCAGAAAACAGGGGATGTGCCCCTGTAGTCAACACGAATGAGTCCCACTCAGGACCAGGGTCTCCTTGGGGTCCCACCAAGATAACGAGCACGAAGAGTCATCAAGTTCATTGTTACTTGGAGGCAAGGTGACCGTTCCACTGACTCTTTCCACAGTCAGGATGAGAAAAAGCTAATGTTTAAAATCCATGCCTCACACCCTGGTTTAAGTCCAATATTTAATGCAGTAGGATCTTCAGAAGAGTCACACGCCCTGCAACAGCAGATCAGCCACGGGTCTAGGTGAACTGCCTGCTTTAGTACTTCGTTTTCTGTTCTGCATTCTGTTCGCGAGCAAATATCTAAAACTGCGACCCCCAACCTTCAGGGATTCAATCTGCTCAGCTGAGGCGGACCCGAAACGGGAGTGGAGCCTCAGAAGCAGTGGTGCGTTTGAAACAAAACAGGGTTTCCCCCCTGCCCCCTTTCATGCACGCCTCTCTGTTGGTTGAGTGCCTCCATTTGCAAGGCGACAGGGCTAGACCACATAAAGGGGGGCTGATTTCTTGGGGCGGTGATCAGCAAGCAGAAACTGGCATCCTTTGGCCACGATTAGGGGTCGCTTGGGGATGGGGGGGATAAAGAGAAAAAGCAGCGGGGAGGCGGATGGGCAGGATCAAAGGAACTGCTGAAAGGTCTTTGCAAAAGCTAGCCCCTGGGTCGGACTACGCAGGGGTCAGGCCTGACTTTGCCGTCCTAATGAGGAATTAATTGTGCCTGGTGTCACTGGCACCTTTTAGCCCCGCCGTTGGGGTCCCCCCCTTCCCAGTCCTGACAGCCATACCCACTTCGGTCAGTTAAAAATGATAAGCAGGTTCTGTACAAAAGGATTTAGTCAGCTGAGCACCCGATGAGCCGGCCATGCAAACGCCTCCTCCTGTTTCTGCCCTGGCAGCAGGAGACCGTATTAGTCACTGCTCGCTCTCGCGTGCCAGCTATCAGCGTGGGTTTTCGGTTTCGATTTCCTTGGGCGCTGCGGGAGGAAAGGCGGAGCTTAACCTGATCTGCTTTGGAGCCAGATAAATGCAGACTGTGGCTGGCCTTTCCCAGGGCAGCCCCCTGCAAAGATCCTTGGCTCTCAAGGGGACCTCGTGGTGGGTTGCCGCACCCCCCTCCCCAAGCCTTGGGGCTGGCAGACCCCCAGTTAAAGCAGACCCTAGGGATGCGGGGAAGGGAAGGTTTCGGTTCATCTGCCTGTCCCTTGCCTGATCGTGCAAGAGGGTGAGTGGCAGAGCGTGTGCAAAAGCATCATCTCTAGGAGTTAGATCAAAGGCTGGTGCTTCAGGCCCGACGGTGTCAAGAAATGGCGGCGCGCATTACAGTATCGTGGTTAGAACTAGCATTAACCAGGACAGGCGGAAAGCAGGGTGAATGGGTGAGGGGAGGATCCCGACGTTTGGTTAAGCTGCATCTCACCCTGAGCCATGCACTGCTTCATTTGCCTTTGGCTTCAGAGGGTGGGGATAAATCTAGTCATTGGGGTTTCTGAGTTGCGGATTAGGGCTTACTGTGTTGTGTCTGAATGCAGAGAACTATGGTTGAACGCCCCCGCCCTAAAGGTTTGGCATCCAGAACTGGAAGGAGGTGAGATTTTAAGGCAGTGTTGTCCAAACTTGGCCACTTTAAGATGGGTGGACTTCAACTCCCAGAATTCCCCAGCCAGCCTTGCTGGCTGGGGAATTCTGGGAGTTGAAGTCCACTCATCTTAAAGTGGCCAAGTTTGGACAACACTGTTTTAAGGGCTCCCCCCACCCCTAATTTGCTCTTGTTCCATAGTGCTGAAAATGTAACCTGTGTGTTTAGACATGGTTACAGTATGTATGTGGAAATTAAGCACCTGGTTTTTCTCAGACTCTGATGCGGTGTTTCTCAACCTCGGCAACTTTAACGTGCTGGCTGGGGGATTCTGGGAGTTGAAGTCGACACATCTTAAAGCAGTCCAGGTTGAGAAACCCTGCTCGAATGGATCAATTCAGATTAAGCTTGAAACCTTATTCTGTAAAACCTGTAAAATAAGGATGATATTTGCCTGAATTTTTTTTAAAACTCCGTCCAAGTCTCCCCAACTGGACCGTGCGTTAGAAATCTCAACTCTGCTTGAACTGCAGCTTAATGGTGCAATTTTAACAATTTGAGCATAGGAAGAGAAGATGCTTTGAATCGAGTGATTTAGCCTTGCTTTTTTTCCCCTTGTAATTAAGTGAAAAGAAAAGATGAAGGGAAGATAAAGCTCTGAAAAAGCTAAAACTTGCTTCGAGTAATGACTCTGTATGCTTAGGGTTTGCGCACATTGATCTGTTTCTCTGCAATGGTTAACTTACACAGTTGCTCCTAGATAATAATCATCAGTAAGTTTTCAAAGTCCAGAAAGTTTTGGTGTTGTTTTTTAAGGCTTGATGGTCACTCCTCCTGCCACGTTTTGGTGAGACGTAGGTTTTTTCAGGGTGGGGTAGCATTTCGGCATCGCAGAAAAGAAAGGCTCTTGGAATATATGGGTTTCCATATATGCAATTATAATTTTAGGAACTCTGAATAGTTTACTTATCTCTGTTTCTTATATTCTCCTTTAGCCTTTGCAAGTACTCTCATGACATTTTATCAGAAAGTAACCGGAAAGTTTTGAAGAATCATGAACTCTCTGGCCTCAATGAAGACGAACTGTGTGTTTTACTTCTCCAAAACGACCCTTTTCTTTTACCTGATGTAAGTTGTGCAAACTTATAGACCAGTTATTTGTTACAGGATCACTGATCTGAGAGACCTTGGTTTTAGAATCGGTTTAGCAAGAATAGATCTTGCTGACTTAGGTCAAACTTTGGATATCTACACTTCCTGACTGCTTCTGATATGAAAGATAAAATCCTTGCTCAATATATAGGGGTAGAGATGGTGGACAGCCACAACATGTTGAAAGTTATGTTGTAGTATTTATTTATTCCATTTTTATGGCTGCCGGAGTCATGCAGAATCCCTCTAGGTGGCTAACGAGGGTTAGTACACAAACATTCCTTTCACTGCCTTATTTTTGAATGGCCAATTAATAAATATACAGCGTTAGAGTGTATGTCAGATGGATGGCTCATCATTTGTAAGCAGGCACTCCAATATGTGTCTATTAAGAGGCAAGTCCCTTTGAGTTCAACAGAGCTCATGTCCTGTATAAGAACATAAAAAGTCTACAATTCTTGTGAACTGCTAATCTGCCCTAGAATAATACTGATAAAAGCATGACTCTGCAACTTTCTTATAATACAGCTGGGGGTTGAATATTAAGGGCTGCGCTTCAAAGGAAGACACATTTTGGAAGGAGCTCAGCATCTATAAGGGATGATGAAGTGGCTTCCATGTTACCCCTTAAAATTTCCCCAAACTCCCAAAGCTTCATAGAAGGTCCCAAAGCTTGACCCCATCCATTTGGGGGCTATAGAAGTAGTCATAAGACTATTCCTGGTTTAGGCAAATAAAGGAAGAGAAATTGTATGAAATTGAAAGAGAAATTGAAACTTTTGGATGAATGTATCGAAACTGTCAACTCCTACATTGGTTTATTCAGGTTTACTTTCTCACCGGGGGCCCGGCTTACATGTCATATTAAATCACAATTTAGTACTATAAAGACTTCTTTTGATGGGGCTTGCAAAAATGGTTTTGATGGCTGATGAAGACATTTGTTCGCTGCTTCCTTGTAGAATGTCGGCACAAGAATATTGACTGCCACACTAGCATTTCAGTTGCAGACAATATTTTGTTTGATTATCCATTCTGTATAATCTAGTTTTATAAAAGGTCTTCAAGTGTCCAATAATATTACAGTAGTAATTGATATTTTCCCTATAAATTCAGGGAAGACTAATGATCTCTAGCGGTTCTGATAGATGCGGAAAAGGCCTTTGATATGGTCTAGTGGATATTTTTGAGACAAGTCTTGTTTGAATCTGGGTTTCCTCTGCCTGTTATCAGTTAGATCAATGTGCAGTATTGTGTTCCTTCTGCTTCAGATTTTTTTTTCTTATTATTTAAGCTGTTCCACCCTGCTCTTATTTAGCTGACAGATCTAGGTTAACTCATATTTTGAATTATTATGGACGTATATACATGTGGTCTAGTATCATTATTGCAGTTGGTTGTTTTATGGTTAGAATTTGTTTACTGGGTTGCTGCTAAGTTCTGCGTTAACCTGATAATTTAAAAAAAGTACCCTGGAACAGTCTATCTCTAGAAGCTGCAGTTTCTCCATCTCTGGAGCTTTTAAGAAGAGGTTGGACAGCCTCCTCTAGGAATTGGTTTTCTTACACATTGCAGAGGGTTGGACCAGATGATCTTGCGGTCTCTTCCATTGTAAAGAGTAAGGAGGATGACCTTGATGTTGTTTAAGCAGAAGAGGCTAAAGCATTTTTAAAGTCTAGAATGTCCAGATACCATTTGGAAGCTGATTCACTGAAGTGTAAGAAGGCGGAGGAGGTCCAGCACAATCAGACCTGCAAGATTCTGCTGTTGTGGCCCATCTCAGTAAAAGTCAGTTTAGCCTTCCTATTAAGTTGATCTCATGGTATGGTCTACCTGGTGGGGCTGACATCAGTTCTCTGATTCTATAAAAGAACTTTAAAACCCTTTTAAAGGCCATCAAATTTCCACAGTCTTGCCATCTGAACAGTGGTCGCTTAACTTCTGGAATATGGGTGGAATTTTGCTGTTTTGTTTTTTTAAGAAGGAAATGCACATTTCTTTCATGAATACAAGTAGTCCTCGCTTAAGGACCATTTGTTTAATGACGGTCCAAAGTTATGACAGCCTCAGAAAAAAGTGCTTTACAACCTGTACTTGCATTTACGAGTGTTGCAAACTGTTGCACCACCTCTGCAGTCACGTGATCGCAATTTGGATGTTTGACAACTGGCTCACATTTACGACTGGTTGCAGAGTCCTGAGGTCACATGATTGCGATTTGCATCCTTTTTTGTTGGTTTCCAACAAAAAATGTCCATTGGGGAAGCTGGATTCGTTTAATGATCCCATGATTTGCTCAATCACTGCAGTGATTCGCTTTATGACCATCATAAAAATAGTCTTAAAATTGGGTCTGGTCATGTGGTGACTTGCTTAATGACCACACCATTTAACAACCAATTTTCCAGTCCCTATTGTGGTCGTTAAGCGAGGACTACCGGTAAACACAAATCACCCAAAATGCAGGTCCTTTAGTTTCTGCATAAGAGAAAACAGCAAATCATATTACTTAAATATAGGCCAATGTTTCTGTGATTTTTAATAGGTAAGGCTAAATTAGGGTCTCAAAACAGGTGCCCTGAACACGAACGGTCAGGATGTTTCCCTACTTTCTGTGCAGCCCCGAACAGAAGAACATTGGCGTCTTTCTGTTTCTCCTTCTTTCCAGGTTTGCGGTGCCTATAACAAAGGGGAAGGGAACTGCACCCAGGATAACTGCCCCCGGCTTCACATTTGCCGCTACTTTCTCAAAGGAGAATGCCGGTTCCCCCGTTGCAAGAGGTCTCACAATCTTCTGGACCCCAATTCTGTGAGGCTGCTGCTCCCTGAAGGCCTGGACAAGGAGATGATTTGGAACATCCAAATGATTTGTGAAGCCAGAATTGCCGCCTTGATGCAAGACCTTGCTTTCTACAAAAGTGAGCATTTACGCCAGCATTTCTCAACCTTGGCGGCTTTCAGATGGGTGGACTCCAACTTCCAGAATTCCCCAGCCAATTGGAGTCCACCCATCTGAAAGCCGCCAAGGTTGAGAAATGCTGGTTTACACAGTTGCAAGCTTCTCAGGCCAGTTCCTGTTTCAGAACCTCCCTTTTCTCATCCCCTTCTTGAAACTCCTCTCCATTCTTGTAGGACCCCTCGCACCTGCAGCAAGTGGAGAACGCCCAAACGCTGCGCCTCCGAAAGATGACAGACCCCATCTGGCGTTTAACCCGAATCATTTTGTGAATCGAGACCACCCTGACCAAAGTGAGCCAAAGTCTTTTTTTTTTGAGGGGCAAACCCCAGGGGCTGAGTTGGTCTCACATCAATGGCTTCAAGCCTTTGGCTGTTGTAGGTGAGCCCTGGGCTTCAGCATGGGCGAATCTACAACCAGGTGCCCCCTTCTGTATTTGTATTCATCAGTCCAGATCGCTCAGTTGGGAAAGGAGAAATGTTATGAGGCAGAGGGTTAACGCGTCCTGCGTCACCTAACTTCTGCTTCATTGGATGAATATTAAATTTTAATAAGTGAAAGGGATGTAAGCGCAGGAAGTCGAATGCGAGGAGGTTAAGAAAGATAAGTGGGTTAATGAACAGATACATACGTGCAAAGAGGATGGGCACTGAGAACGAACATATCCTCAGAGCCAGGATGGATAAGGGATTTTTCTCTAAAAGTTCCTAACAGTGAAAGGAGCAACAACTGAATTGCTCAGGAGGTGATGGATTCTCCTGAAGCTCCTTAAATAGAGTGAATTCCTGCAGTGGGTGTTGGGTTGGACTAGATGATCTCCCAAGGTAATGTACGTTCCAGGAAGATCACCCCTAGATCATATGGAGCGTAGAGCACCACATGCTAAAAGAGTCCTCCCGTATTTCACCGGTCAAGATGGATCCTTGAAATAGGATGTCCTGAAGAAGGAGAACAAGTCATTCCAGCCAGTGAGTTGGGGGTCATATGACCTGGGAGTCATCCCCCTGCAGACCCAGCTCGCATGAGACTGTTCCTGATGAGAGACCTAAGAGGCCCTCTTGCATTTGCATCTCGATGGAAGAGGACACCGTTCGGTGGCTTATACCAGGAGAGGATATCGTGTCCCTTAATTTCTCTTTTTCAAAATTTACAGATGGGAAAGGAGTTCCTCCTCCTAAACCTCCTGTTGCAGCGAAGGAAAAAAGCGATGAAATCTGTCTGCACTATGTCTGGCAGTTCTGTAAAAATAAAAGTAAGTCCCAGAAGATGAGGATTAATTTGCCCTTGCGAGTTTTAATACCTTTGCATGTTCCATCCACATTAGTCACAGCGCTTCTGCCCAATTAACACAGCAGATAGATGTGGGTCAAAATATGGGTTGCTGATGTTCAGGTGGAGGGAGGGATCCATTGAGGTCGGTGATGGCATATTCTACACTTCAAGAAAGAAATATAGACCCTCTTTAATCTATAAAGAAGCAAATGATTAAGACTGACATGCAGATTCAGTGCTTATGTTGGGATCCAAGGCCATACTGGACCTCTTCCAGTGGTGTTTCTCAACCTTGGCCACTTGAAGATGGGTGGACTTCAACTCCCAGAATTCCCCAGCCAGCATGAAATACACGCATCTTAAAGCTTGCTGGCTGGGGAATTCTGGGAGTTGAAGTCCACCCATCTTCAAGTGGCCAAGGTTGAGAAAAACCACTGGAAGAGGTCCAGT